TACCTGAAGGACTTCAGGTAGCCTGGGTCTGCTTCAGGAGTTGGTAGCATCGTTTTTCTGCAGGAAGTCACTAGAGCCAGTTTTGACAGAGTCTACAGGTACATGAATGTGTGTGTGCGAGAACAGAAGATAGAAATAGAGATAGACAGAGAGACAGATAGATAGATAGATAGATAGAGAGAGAGATATCTCAAGGGAAAGCCAATGTTTGTTTTCTCTTCCCCCATGACTTGCTGAAGCATCACGGGAAATGCTGGACTAAAGATACCATCCGATGATGTCAGGATGGGCATTTAATTAGATGTATTCTTTCTAGAAATTAATTTAATATCAATTATCATAATTTTATAATATAATGTGTTTCCTGTAGGTTGTGCCACAAAATTTAATAATCTCAATTTCTTTGATGTGACATCCACATATGTGCACACGAGTACAATCCATACATGTATGTAGATAAGAGGGAAATAAGACTATAAAGGAATGCACCAAACTCTTTCCCTGAGGATTGTCATTCCCCTTGGATGGTGGGATATGGGTATTTCTTTACATCTTTGACTTTTCTGTAGCTTTCAAATTTATACAACTATCTTTTATGGCTGGCAGTTCTTCCAACTGTAGTGATAAGACAAAGCATGAGAGGTATCAGGTGGAGATGCTCAGGGCAGAGGGTCATTATTCAATAAAAATGAGTTTTCCAAGAGAAAGAACTGCCTCTTGTGCCCTTGACTGGAGAGTGCAAATACAGGATGCACTTCTGCCTGAGTGGGATAGATGGGAATGGATAAAGGAATGGGCATCATTTGGAAAAGTACATGAGTCCCTTCCCCCATCATGAAGTAATGTTTTTCTTTTGAAATTTCCAGAGCCCAGGGAGCCGGGGCTTTTGATCAGGAATGTGGGTGGAACAAATCGGACATAATTTTCCTATGTTCATATCAGAATCAACCCCCATAGAGAGAGAAGATAGGAGTGGAGGGGAAGGGACGGGAGGGGGGATAGTAGAAGATAGGAAAGGAAGCAGAATACAACAGACACTAGTAGAGCAGTATGTAAAAAAGTGGATGTGTAACCGATGTGAATCTGCAATATGTATATGGGGTAAAAATGGGAGTTCATAATCCTTTTGAATCAAATGTATGAAATATGATATGTCAAGAGATTTGTAATGTTTCGAACAACTAATAATAAAAAAATAATAAAATTATATATATATATATATATATATATATATATATATATATAAAAAGAATCCACCCCCAGTGAAGTCACATCATGTACAACCACAAGAATGAGAACCTGAGGTATATTCCATGGGTATATAATATGTCAGCATACACTGTACTGTCATGTATATCTAAAATGCACAAATAAAAATATAAGAGTTCATTTAGCAACTAATGTTAGGGCTAGTGGTTAATACTTGCTATTATTTATCCATTTGATGAGGCAATCCTAGTGGTTATAAGGTGGGATCTCATTACATCCTTTTCTTAAAATTATTTTTAGTTATAGATGGACACAATATCTTTTTTTATTTATTTTTATGTGGTGCTGAGGATCAAATCCAGTCAGTGCCTCACATGGGCGAACCACACGTTCTACAACTGACCTAGAGCCCCAGCCCCTTCATTCCATCCTTGATTTGCCTTTGATGGCTAATGATGTGGACCATCGTTTCATGGATTTGATGGCCCTTTGGGTGTCTTCTTTGCAGAATTTTCTCTTCTAAATCTTAGCCCATTTTCAATGGGGTTGTCTTTTTATTATTGAGTTTAAATATTACTGATGCTGGTTTTTGCAGCAAAAGTTTTAATTTTGATGAAATCTCATTTACCTAGTTGTTTTGCTTGTGATTCTGATGCTATATCTCAGAAGGCTTTCCGTAACGTGAGATTGCAAAGATTTACTCTGATGTTTCCTTCCGAGTGTCCTGGGGCTGTCCTTATTTGGTCTGTGGGTCACAGAGTTCAATCTTGCTCACGTGTGTGAAGCACTTCACCTTCATCGTTTGGCATGAGGCTGTCCGGCTGCCCAGGCAACAGTTGTTAAAAGGACTATTGTTGTTGTTGTTGTTGTTATTTTTTAATTTGCTCTTTTTAGATACACATGTTAGGAGAGTGTATTTTGACATATTATTCATACCTGGAGGATAACTTAGGGTCTCATTCGAGTGGTTGTACATGATGTGAGCTTCACTGGGGTGTATTCCTATATGAATGTAAAACCTTATGTCTGACTCATTCTACCTCCTTTCCTGTTCCCCTCTCCTCTCCCTTCCCTTGGTTGTCTCCTTTTGAAGGTCCCTTGGCTTCAAGATCACTCTGTACTTCAGTGGTCTAGGGTGGAAATCCTTCTTTCCTTCTCAAGGGTTTATATTCTGGTCAAAAAGCTCCATTTCAGGAAAGTATTTTGGAACCTCAATGTACAGCTCCACTTCCCCTGCACAGAAGGAGAGATCCAGGTGAATTCTCTTCAAGGACACAGTGCTCTGGAAGGCAGGCTTAAAGTTTTCATCAAAAGCCAAAGCAGAGCATTTTAGATCTCCTTATGTCAAAGAGGAAGCTTAATACTTATTTCACGACTTCCCTTCCCCCCTGCTCCACATGTGGACCCCATTGTTCAGGGCCAGCTGTATGGAACGCCTATTCCTATTGCTTGTCCCATGGAGCATCACGTTCTGCACAGGGGAGTTTCTACAGAGGAACAGCCTATGGGTTTGCCTGTGGACTGGGTCAGCTCTCCCCGCAGTCTTCCAGGAGGAAGTGGGTGCTCAGGTCCCTAGAGATGAGGGCGTGTGGAGATTAAGGGGTGGGGGCTCTGAAGGCAGATTGCCTCTGAATCCTGGTGCTTGTACTTATGACTTGGGAATGTGAGCCAGTTACCTGACTGTGCATGTTACATGTTCTTCTGTGAAGCAGGCAACCAATGAGACTTAGCTCATAGGCTTCTTTGAGCCTAAAAGGAGCTAACACCCAGAAAGGGGGCATGTGTACATGAGCACAAGACCCTGCATATACTCAGGGAGGCCATGGTCACTCATGGCAGCTGGGGCAGCCTGGGACATTTTCCAGGCTGCATCTATTGAATAGTAGGTGTTTCTCGCCAACCCCAGCTCTGCCTATTCATTGCATCATGCCATCAAAACTCTGGAAGAGAGAACTACTACAAACTTCAAGAAGAGAACCTAGATATTTAAGTCCAGTCAATAGTAAAAAATGGAAGACAGTTATGGCACACTGTAAATACTATCTTATTGAATGGAAATAGAGACAAATATTTGGGAAAGCTCTTATGAAATTGACAGAGCCCAATGAGTTGACGTTCTTTTAGGTCCAATAGCTATTTCTTAGCTTTGATTACTATTCCGTAAAGTGTGTGTATGTGTGTGTGTGTGTGTGTGTGTGTGTGTGCCACACATGTGTATTTTCCTCAGGTGTTCTTAAACCCATGTCTCTTTTTTTTTTTTTTTGACAAATACATAAGGGGCCATGAAATTTCCACCAAGATTTCAAAGAAAGACCTGGAAGCCAGGCAAAATGTTGCTGGATCAAAGTCCCTGTAGGCGCCCCTGAGAGACCAATGCATGAAGTTGTAGGTAAAGTGAAGCTGTGATGGAGACCCCAGATGAGCAGTTAGTGACAACTGAAACCTAATGAATTTATCCTAGTTTGAATGAACTTTGTGGTTAGAAATGGTAGGTGGTAGGACATGCTTGGAGGAGGTGAGCCATAGTGAGTTGGTCCTGGAGGTGTTCTTCCTGTGGCCCTTTCCTGTCTCAGTTTTCTGACCCCCATCTGTTGATACATTTCCTCCACTGGGCCCTCCCCCCATGATGGGCTGGTGCACTAAGGACCCAGAGCAAGGGAGCCAGTGATCTATGACTTCTGCAATGTGAGGTTACAAAATACTTTCCTGGCTGTCAATTGTTCTTGTCATATACTTTGGTCACAATGAAAGAAACAAATGACTAAAGCAAGGGGATGTGTCCTGTGGTATTCTATCCCCATTTGTTCTTCCACACTTGTGACTCTCCTGTGTTCCTCTGTTGCCATGGCAGCCAAGGTTCTCAGAACAAAGGATTCTGACCTTTGAACTTCTCAGTTACTGGATTCAGTACCTGAAGGACTTCAGGTAGCCTGGGTCTGCTTCAGGAGTTGGTAGCATCGTTTTTCTGCAGGAAGTCACTAGAGCCAGTTTTGACAGAGTCTACAGGTACATGAATGTGTGTGTGCAAGAACAGAAGATAGAAATAGAGATAGACAGAGAGACAGATAGATAGATAGATAGGTAGAGAGAGAGATATCTCAAGGGAAAGCCAATGTTTGTTTTCTCTTCCCCCATGACTTGCTGAAGCATCACGGGAAATGCTGGACTAAAGATACCATCCGATGATGTCAGGATGGGCATTTAATTAGATGTATTCTTTCTAGAAATTAATTTAATATCAATTATCATAATTTTATAATATAATGTGTTTCCTGTAGGTTGTGCCACAAAATTTAATAATCTCAATTTCTTTGATGTGACATCCACATATGTGCACACGAGTACAATCCATACATGTATGTAGATAAGAGGGAAATAAGACTATAAAGGAATGCACCAAACTCTTTCCCTGAGGATTGTCATTCCCCTTGGATGGTGGGATATGGGTATTTCTTTACATCTTTGACTTTCCTGTAGCTTTCAAATTTATACAACTATCTTTTATGGCTGGCAGTTCTTCCAACTGTAGTGATAAGACAAAGCATGAGAGGTATCAGGTGGAGATGCTCAGGGCAGAGGGTCATTATTCAATAAAAATGAGTTTTCCAAGAGAAAGAACTGCTCTTGGGCCCTTGACTGGAGAGTGCAAATACAGGATGCACTTCTGCCTGAGTGGGATAGCTGGGAATGGATAAAGGAATGGGCATCATTTGGAAAAGTAAATGAATTAATGCTTTTCTTTTGAAATTTCCATTGTCCAAGGATCCTGGGCTTTTGGGCCCTTGGACCCTATGAGTGACTCATCCTCTGGCATCAGCTGCCCTGACATGGAGCACTGTATTTCGCAATCCAAATCGAACCAGAGCCTCTCTGTAGTCCCTTTCCCCTCAGAGGAGAGGCCTGACTGTGAGGCTGTCGTAGCCTGTGAAGAACTGACCTCTGAGGGTCCTTCCTCCCTCCCTCCTGTCCAAGGGGCATGGGGAACCAATGATGTAAGGGGACCCATGGGCAGAAGAAATGAAATTCAGGAGAAGCCAGAGGAGCTTGGCGAAGAAAACATGGATGAGCCCATAAATGGCGAGGTGTGCAGCCTCTTCGACTACTCAAAAATGAAATGGGCTGAATGGGAGGAAGATGATGACGAGAGTATGTACGATTCGGATGAGGAGACAAGATGCCGGGGCGTCTGGGAACTTCTTTTTTTAGTGAAAATTGTTTCGGGAGGTATAGGCAAGTTCAAGAAGGTCAAAGGTGACGACTCTCTGTTCAGTGATCCTCCTCAAAAGGAGGAAGATGTCCAGCCATCGAGCAGTGTCTCTTCCCATATGGATCAGGTCAGTCCTGAAGAACTCGAGGCTTGTCAGGACTTGCCCAAGTGTCAACGAGCAGAAAATGGAGACACCAAGCAGTGTTCTGGCCTTGAGAAGGATGAAATTGTTGAGGTGAGCACAGAGCTGCCCCCCTGCAGAGGAAGGGACAGGCCCAGTGGGGGTGCCAGGTGGGACAGCATGGAGTCCTTGTACCTGCTGTGAAGCAGAGGAGGACCCCAGTGTCTGAGCAGATGAGAAGGTCCTCAGCCAGGAAAGGGGTCAGGGAAGAGGTGTTGGGGAAATGCCAGGGAGCACTGAGAGAGAGAGATAGGGGAGGACAGAGAGAAGCACTGTACAGACCAGTGTGTGTGCCTGTGTGTGGCTTTAATGTGAGTCCTGAAACTTTGCATTGACAGTTGGCACATTTTGGTAAAAAAGTAAATTGGAAATCCATAAATGAGTAATATTGGCCTCATTGCTGCTGACCCTGAATGTCTCTAACTCCTCCTCTTTGTCTTGGCAGATGGAAAGCCAGGAGCCTGGCACAGCAAAGAGCTCCCTAGGGTCATCAGAGCAGTCAGAGGAGGGGGACCTGCCTTCAGACAAGGAAGGCACTTCCTGTATGAATTTCCGGCGCTTCTTTCACTGGCTCAGGAAGAGAGTGGTGTCCTCCCTGCCAGGGAGAAAGCGCCGTGAGAAGGCCAAGAAGGTCTCATCCTGCTGGCGCTAAAGAGAAGACATTTGGTTGGAGACCACAGGTTCCAACCTCAAGAATCCCTCCAGTTAGGAACCCTGTGCACCCAGAATTTTAATTGATTCCCCAGCCCGTGTTGTAGAGTTAGCATGGTTTTGTGTTTTCCTAATAAATGTTCTTTTTTTCCATGTCTTCCTCCTCTTCCATCATAACATCTGGGCCAGGTTGAAAGTAGGTATGCTGACCAGAAGACTGAGGTTGACCCTGAGGACACCACAGGGAGTATTCTGCCTCCTAAACAGAAGTCCTTCGTTTCTCTCTCCCTAGGCCCCTTCTTACTGTATTTCCCCTATTTATTTCTTATTTAATGTATTTCAACATCTTTTATCATTAACTCCTATCTGCAGTGTCAGAGGCAGAAGGACCCCTGTGACTCCCACGTGGCAGGATGGTTTTGGGGGAACTTCTGGGTCTGGAGTGAGTGGCAGAGGGCAGTGAGTCACTGGGAAGGCCATGTCAGTCAGTAGTGTTAGACAGTCAGAAAGCTGTTCTGATGACCCTGGGGACCAGGTGGTTCTAGCATGTTATTCTAAAACATCCTGGCATGGTGGCTGGTTCTAGCAAGTCTATTGGCATAAGGGGCAACATGGAGGGGGGGAAGGTGGGGGCTGGGAATGCCACTTAACCACACTAAGCCTGGTGTCTTCATTCATAAGTTGAGGCAGATGTTCTTACAGACCTCACAGGGTTGTTCCAGAATAAATGAGATAAAGCAAGCCCTGATAAGTACTGTGGCTTCTGGTGGTGGCCATGTTCCTGAGGATCTTCCCAACACACTTCATTAAAGGTATATCTAAGAGAGCCACTTGGAGTCAACTCTCATGGAGCTATTTCCAGCACTGAAGCTATTTTACCAAATCTTAAAGTGCTCTCCAGCTCTTGATTTAAGAAGTCCTCTCAAGCCAGTATACTGTACTCTCTGAAATTCCTTTGCAAGTGTCATTAAAATTATTCCTCCAGCTCAACTTCTTTGGGGATGGCTGGGCTTATCCATACTTCTTGTTGATAGTTCCTATGTTGCCAATTCACCTCCCAGGACTATTATTATCCTCCTCACTCATCCATAGGTTCTCTCAAAGGCGTTTCTCCTCCTTTAACTACCACCCTGTGTGACTTTCATTGTTCACTGTTGAGAGCCACAGCCGAAGGGGCCCCAGCAAACTTCTAGTTGCCAGCAAACTTCCAGCTGCCAGCTGATGATTGGCTCACAGTGGCCCCAGCAAATTTCTAGCTGCCAACTGATTGGCTCCTCTTCTGTGATGCTCATTGGGCTGTTTTCCCGCCCTTTCAGACCATGGAGCTGCTCATTGGGCGACTTTTTTTGGCTCCGCCCAGAGGGCCCAGCCAATCGGCCTCAAGAGCAGGAGGAGATGGGGAGGTGGAGAGGCTTGTGGGAAGCCGGTGGTGGCAGTTGGGCTCTGAAGGTTTTTCCTGAGGAGCTGTGTGGTTTGGTTTGTGTGGTTCTAAAAATGAAGTTCGTTTCTTTTGACAAGTGGCTCCTGAATTGTGCCCAGCCAGACTGCGGCAGTTCATATTTTGAGAAGCCTATGAGATTTAGTCTTAGAGTCTTCCTTTCCTCTGTTTCAACCTCCTTATCTCCCTCCTCCCTTACACAGACATTGGGCACATGGAAAACTCACTAGCTTAACATACCAAAAAAGGTGTCTGGATCTTTGGGGTCAAGGGGCTATTTGTTGAGGAGTTAAAGCCAGGAAACATGCGAACATAAAGGTCTGTGGGTGAGAGTAGTCTGTAGCAGTGATACAAAGAGACAGTTGAATGTGGAAGTTTTCATAAAGTATCACAGAATGTCCATTTACATGGTATTTCCCCCTGTTTTTTAATTGGTAAAATACATATAAAGTATACTAGTTTAACTGCTCTTATGCATACAACTCAGATGTTTTGAGTATATTCTACCTCCATATGTTTTATCCCCCAAATAAAGCAATATATTAATATGAAATAGCATTAAAACATGCACAAAGTAAACATCAAGATGAGAATATTGTTCATGAGGGAAGTGGGAGCAAACAGAACAGCCGAGGGGGAGATGAGGGACCTAAGTCTTATCTATAATATATTCTTTTGGGGGGAGGGGATTCAGGAATTGAACTCAGGGACCTTTGACCACTGAGCCATATCCCCTGCCCTATTTTGTGTTTTATTTAGACACAGATTCTCATTGAGTTGATTAGCGCCTTGCTTTTGCTGAGGCTGTCTTTGAACTTGTGATCCTCCTGCCTCAACCTCTGGAGCTCCTAGGAATACAGGCGTGGACCCTCAGCCCAGCTATCATATATTTTTACTAGTAAGTAATGAATCGAATATGGCAAACTGTCAAGGCCTGACAAACTTCGTTGTAACAAATAGTTGGTTGTTTTCTTAATAAGTTTTCCTACTTTAATGTATTTGTCTTTGACCTTTTCATCTTGGCCTCAGTGTGCACTTCCAGAGAAGGTGCAAGCATACTGAAGGGCATCCATATGTCCCTCAGCCCACTGCTCCAAGGGTGACATCTTACACGGGTACCACAGTGAGCAGACCACGGTGGGAACTTTGGTGCAATACCATTGACTAGCACAGAGACAGCCCTGGAGCTGCCCCAGTTCTTCCACTAAGGTCCTTTTCCTACTCTATGAGATCTTTAGAAACACAAGTTGTATTTAAATGTACATACCCATGATTCGGCTGCAGTGTGTGACAGGTCCTCATTCTTCCTTTACCTTTCATGACCTGACAATGATCAGATATTTTCTCACATGTCCCACAGCTGGAGTTTTCTATCACTTTATCATAACTGTAGTAAGGTGATGCATGTGGGCAAGAATCCACAGAGGCTTTGTTGAGGGTTCCGTGTGTCCTATCACAGGTTCAGAATGCCTCTTTTTATACTTTTAAATTACATCATAATTTAAAAAATGGAAGCCAGGTGAAGTGGTGCATCCTGTCACCCCAGCTACTCTGGTGACTGAAGAAGAAGGATCATACATTCAAGGTCATCCTGGGCAATGTGTAAAGACCCTGTCACAAAATAAAATAATAAAAAGGGTTGTGAGTGTCATTCAGTGGTAGAGAGCTGTTAAGTGTGTACAAGGCTCAGGGTTTGATCCCTGGCACTGGAAAGGAAGGAAGAAAGACAGAAAAGTAAGAAGGAAGGAAATAAGGTAGGAAGGAAAGAAGGATGGAAAGAAGGAAGGAAATAAGGAAGGAAGGGAGGGAGGGAGGGAGGGAAGGAGGAGTCTAGTATGTGATCTGGAATCTCTAGAAAAAGAATGAGTAGGAGATTGTAGCCTGTGTGTTTTGGTGCCTGCCTGTGATCCCAGTGGCTCAGGAGGCTGAGGCAGGGCCAGCTCAGCTACTTAGCAAGGCCCTCCTAAGTAACTCAGCAAGACGACTGTCTCTAAATAAAATATATATTTTTTAAAAAAGGTCTGAGGATTTGGTTGAGAGGTTAATCACTGCTGGGTTCAATTCCTTGTACAAAGAAAAATAATAACAAAAATGAAACACATAGAAGGTTGTACCCATAAAGAGAGAATATTTTCCAAGGTGTGGACCCATGGACTTATGGTGGGTGAGAAGTCCAGGACCTGCCATCTGCCAGCTGGAGACCCAGGAGTGCCAGTGGTAATGGTCTAGTCTGAGTCTGAAGGCTGGAGAAGCAGGAGGGCTGATGGGACAAGTCCAGTCCAAGTCCAGAGGCAGGAAGGACTGATGTCTAAGCTCCAAGACAGTTGGGCAGAGCAGTCTTTTGTTTTATGCAGACCTGGAATGAATTTGAAAGTGGCCCACACACACTGGGGCAGCTAGTCTGCTTCACTGGGTCAATGTTCTTTGTTTCTTCGTTTGTTTGTTTAGGTACTGGATGATGAACCCAGAGGCACTTCTCCAGTGAGCAACACCTCCAGCCTTTTTCCTGTTTTATTTAGAGACCGTCTCACTGAGTTGCTTAGGGCCTTGCTAAGATGCCAAGGCTGGCTTTGAAATCACAATCCTCCTGCCTCAGTCTCCCAAGCTACTAGGATTCCAGGCTTGCACCACCCTACCTGGCTTAGTGGAGCAAATATTAATCTCATCCAGACACATCCTCACAGACACACCCAGAATGATGCTTAACCAAAAAGTATCTGGAAACCCTATAGTCCATCGAGTTGACACATAAAATTAACCATTATATTAGCTTAACTGATAAACAAGAAACTTCCTGTAGGTATTTAGGTTCGAAGTCTCATTGAGTCAAATGGATTTCAGGAAGTGTCCCATCTCTTAATGTCACTCTGGGTACTGACTTTACATCTAAAGCATAGATCCACAACTTAGTATCATTTTTGATACCTGAAGAAGATTTATTGTGATCTTGCTTCATGAGAAGGCAGTTAATGCCAAAAGAGCAAGGCCAGCAAGTCTGATTAAGGCCCTAGAAGGAGAGGAACATTGGAGGTATTGTGAAGAAGGACCCCAAGTCCCCTAATCTGTTAGGAGATGTAAAGATCAGTTTTCATTTGGAAGTTACTGCACTCCTCAGCATGGCCACCAAGGGGGATGTGTGTCATTGCTATTTCTATGATGCTTTAGGAAAAGTTTCTAAATAAATAAATTAAAAAAAAAACATATTAAACTACAAATAGTAAGTATTGTTTTCTTCCTGGGGCAGGAAAGGGTATGAGTGTCTGGGACATTCATTAGCTGAGTTGCACATTTCCAATGGGGACAAAAGTGTGTGTGTGTGTGTGTGTGTGTGTGTGTTTTCTTTGTCAGCAGAGAGTAACACAAAAATGCATTTGAGAGAAATTGTAAAAATAAATAAAAGTGCAATTTTTTTTTAGGTTCTCTCTGTGTCGTTTTTTTATTTCCAAGAGCTGGGTTTTATTTTCCCCTCTTAAGCAGCATTACTGACATGCACTTCACATACCAAGGTCTATACATTACAGTTAAGTGGTTTCTTATATATTCACATGGTTTTGAAACCATCA